TAAAATTGTATTTAAATTTTATTTATTTTATTATTACTATCTTTAAATTTTATTTTAAATTTTATGTGCATGAGTGTATTGCCTACATGGAAAGGCACCCATGTCCTGCAAAACCTGAGGAGGCCAGAAGAGGGCAACAGATTCCCTTGAAATGGAGTTTTGACAGTTGTCAGCCAGTGTTGGGGGCCAGTCTTCCACCATAAAAGCTAGTGCTCTTAACCAGTGATCCATTTCTCTAGTCCCTTGTTTTGTTGTTGCTACTTTTTGTTTTCATTTTGAGACAAGGTCTCACTATGTAGCCCAGATTGACCTTGAACTCAAAATAATTCTCCTGCCTCAGCTGCCCAAACAATGAGATAACAAGTTTGGGCCTCCACACCTAGCTTGAAAATAGACTTCAATTCAGAGGAAAGGAATGCTGGGGATTCTAGGGGAGGGGGCTTGTGACCCCCTCTGCGTGCTCCCTTCCTGTCAGAGTCAGGATATGGGTGTCACTGACCGGTGCAGGATGAGCAGCAGGTAGATGAGGCCGAGGGCAAAGACGGAGCACAGGTAGGTGGTGGCCAGGTAGGAACGGGGTGGGTAGAATCCGTAGAATAGAGGGGACCACTCTAGGTAACCCTGGGGAGGGAGAGGCAGAGCAGGGGTCATTGTGGGTGGAGGCAGGGCATGTGGCATTGGGAATCCAGGCCCGAGGGTCAAGACCTCAAGCACCAGGCTGTAAGACACCAGGCTGTAGAAATGAGGGGGTCCCTTGGGGACCATGGCACCCACCTCTCCAGAGAGCAAGTTGAAGAGTTGGGTGGGGAAGGTGACCAGGCCCTTGGTGTCAGGGGTATAGGGACCACAGGGTGAGGGGATGTCATGGTCAGGGGGACCAGGAGGAGCTCCTTCCAACCAAGTGGGGATCAGCTTCATGCAGATGTTAACCATAGATGCTGCCAGGTTGAGAAACAGCAGGAATCGCAGCAGGGAAAAGTAGGACTCAGTGCCCGCGCCAAACTGGCCTGCAGAGGGCAGCAGAGAGGCCTTGGGTTCCTCACCAGTACAGCTGGACCCAGAGTCCTGCCCCAGCCCTCCTCCCTCAGACCCAGGGATCCAGGCCCCAGCCCTCCTCCCTCAGACCTAGGGATCCAGGTCCCAGCCCTCCTCCCTCAGACCCAAGGGTCCAGGCACCACCCCCTTCCTTCAAACCCCATCGCACCCCCAATCCTCTTTAGTGTCCATGCCCAGGGCTGTATAGTTTGAAAGCCTTGCTTCATCTTCTCCTTGGTCTTGGAAAACTGTTGGGTCCAGTGGGCAGCCCTCGAATCAGAGCCATAGGCCACCTGCTCTGTAGCCTGGCTCTTCCTGGAAGGGACACAAAGTTAGACAAGGAAAATGAAGGGCTTGGAAACTACAAACTGGGAACCACCCAAAGATAGAAACAACCCAATACAATGGGTACATAAATTGTGGTACAACCCAATACATTGGGTACATAAATTGTGGCATGACCCAATACAATGGGTACATAAATTGTGGTACGACCCAATACAATGGGTACATAAATTGTGGTACTACCCAATACAATGGGTACGTAAATTGTGGTATACTGTATTCATAATGTGAAATTCTCTAGAAATAAAAAGTAGCTGGTTATGGTGGTGCAGTCCTTTAATGCCAGCACTCAAGAGGGAAGAGACAGGTGGCTCTCTGTGAGTTCGAGGCCAGCCTGGTTTGCATAGCAAGTTCCAAGCCAGCCAAGGCTACATAGTGAGACCCTGTCTCAAACATTTTTTTTTTTTTTGGTCTTTTTCGAGACAGGGTCTCCCTGTAGCCCCAGCTGTCCTGGATTCACTATGGAGACCAGGCTGGCCTCGAACTCACAGAGATCCACCTGCCTCTGCCTTCTGAGTGCTGGGATTAAAGGTGTGTGCCACCACACCCGGCAAAATAAACATTTTATGTATAAGAAGCCAGGCACAAAAAGATCGAGCCCTGAGTGGTGCACAGTTGTAAGCCCACCAGTGGCAAGACTGAGGTGGGAGGATTGGGAGTTCCAGGACAGGTTGGGAAAATTACTGAGAACTTTTTAAAGGAAAAGTAAGGAAAGATTGGGGTCTGTGGGATGTGATGACTCCCACCTGCAGTCCCCTCACTTGGGAGGTAGAGGCAGGAGGATCACTGCAAGTTTGAGGTCAGCTTGGGCTACATAGTGAGTTCCAGGACAGCCTGGGTTACAGAGTGAGACCCTATCAGAAAGAAAGAAAAGAAAGAAAGAAAGAAAGAAAGGAGAAGGAAGGAAGAAAGAGAAAGAAAGAAAGAAAAGAAAGAAGGGAGGGAGGGAGGAAAGAAGGAAGAAAGAGAAGGGGGGAAGGAAGGAGGGAAGGAGGGAAGGAAGGAAGGAAGGACGTGAAAGAAAGAAAACAAAATAAAAAACTGGGGCTGTAGAGATGGCTCAGCAACTCAAGTCTGACCCTCAGAATCCACACGGTGGAAGAAAAGAGCTCCTGGAAGTTGTCCTCTGACCTCCACAGAAAGCCATGGCACGTAGACACACACACACACCACACACACACACACACACACACACACACACACACACACACACACACACCCCAGAGAGAGAGACAGAGAGACAGAGAGAAATGTAAAAAATAAACTAATAGGGGCTGGAGAGATGGCTCAGCAGTTAAGAGCACTTGCTGAGTACCTGGGTTTGATTCCCAGCACCCACAGGCAGCTAACAACCATCTGAAAATCCAGTTCCAGGGGATTTGATGCCATCTTCTGACTTCCGAATACAGGCAATACACTCATACACATAAAATAAAAATACTAATATTAAAAATAAAAAAACATTAAAAGCCGGGCATTGTGGTGCACACCTTTAATCCCAGCACTCGGGAGGCAGAGGCAGGTGGATCCCTGTGAGTTTGAGGCCAGCCTGGTCTACATAGTGAGTTCCAGGTCAGCTGGGGCTACAGGGAGACCCTGTCTCAAAAAGACCAAAAAAAAAAAACGTTAAAAATAAACAACTAAACAAACAACAAACCTCCAAAAAGGAGAGAAGGAAGGTTGGGAGAGAGGGAAGGGACAAAATGAAAAAAAAAAAAAAAAGAATAAAGCCTGCCTGATTCTAGTAACATAAAGTTCAGAGCAAGCCCAGTGAAACTGCCTGGCTGGTGGCAAGGCCATAAAGAAAATAATCTACTGAGGTCAGGGTGCGTCCTGAGAAGAGGGGCCTTACCTGTGTGCTCGCCTGGCCTGCATAGGCCAGGGAAGCTCCCGGGAAGGGAGGGATTGCAGCAGCTCCAGTTGAGGGCCTTCTACAAAGGCCTGGGTGCTCCTTCCTTCACTGCCACCCTCCTCATCCAGTGTCCCCCAAGGGAGCACACCAGGACCACGGTAGCGGAGAGTAGCAGCACTCGGAAGCTCACTCAGCACAGAGGCCAGTGACCATCTGGGGCCTGAGAACAGAGGGCTGGGAAAACCCAGGAAGCCAGGCCGGAGACCTCCTCCCTCAGACCCAGGGTCCCACACTCTGGCCAACCCTCCTCCCTCAGACCCAGAGTCCTGGCCCCAGCCCTCCTCCCTCAGACTCAAGGGGTCCAGGCCTCAGCCCTCCTCCCTTGGAACCCAGGGTCCCAGACTCCAGCCCTTCTCCCTCAGACTCAGGGGCTGCAGGCCCTGGCCTTTTCCTTGCAGACCCTTTTTAGAATCCCGAGCCTCTGATTTCATTGGTTCCCGGCATCCATACTGTGAGTGTCCTCCCCAGGGACCCAGGTGTGGACCCCAGGTCCCTTCTACCCTAAGGGTGAGTCCAGACTTCAACTTCCTGTTCTCTTGCTAAAGAGGCTGGGGCCCGGCCCCTCCCATATCTGATACCAAGGAGCCAACTCTTGGTTCTCTCCCTGCAAGACTACAACCTAGGCTTACGGATTGTACCTCCTTGGGGTTACCAGTTTCTGGTTTCCTTCTCAGGAAACCCAGGACATGGAATCTTTCCCCTTTTGCCTAGAGGCCCAGCCTCCTCTCTCATCAAGGCCTGAAGGCTAGGTGGGTCTGACCTCCCCCATCTCTCCCACCTGTTCTGGCCACCTGGGACCTTGACCAGTCCCTGGAGGGGCCCCAAGCTTCCCAGGCTCGATTTTCTTCCATGTTTCTGGGTGCACCTGTTGCTTCCGTCTCTAGAGGCCCCCAGGGCTGGGACTGCCCTAAGTGAGGGAGGTGCCAGAGGCAGGGCTGTACCTGGCCACTAGGTGGCCTGGAATCAGTATAGTATACTTCTTATGAACTTAGGCCTCTGCTTTGAAATGTCTCCTGGGAATTGAAGTCCTGATGGCCTCCAGTCAGACTTCATGGCAGTCAGGACCACAGTATACCACACTGGCACCCTGGGCTGTTTCCCTGTTGATTTATTGCCCGCAAATACACTCAAAACAGATGTGTAACACTTTATTGGGAAAAATGTATACATTCTGCCCTTAATAGGCCAAGGATATCACAGGGTGGCAAGTGTGTAGGGGCCTAGAAGTGGCTCAGATGGAGGCTGTAGAGCACGTTTCCCCCAACCCCCGGGGGCTGCCCACTTGCACCTCAGTTTCCCCTTTAGGAAGTGTTAGGGTAATATTCTCTGAAATACTGATTTAATGGGATAAAAACAAGAGGAAGAGGTTCCTCTCCTCTCCCAGAACCTGGCCCTGAAGCTCCTGCTCCAAGACCCACAAGTTTGTCCAAGATGCCACACGACCATCTGCCAAGGCATATGTGGGAAGTACAGCTCTCTGACTACCTGAAGAAGGGCAGACAGCAAGGACAGGAGTGCACAGTAATACCCTGATGTCAGTGGAGGGAGGTTCAGGGAGCAGGGAGGGCCTGAGGGAAGGGTACCCCAGCTTTGTTTAAGTCAGAGGCAGGAGAGTTAGCTGGGAAGAGGGAATCCTCTCCAGGCTCCTAGCCAACTAGGGGACTTTGCTGGGGAAGGAGATGGCAGCCCGGTTCACAGAATTCCCAGGCAAAAGCTTGGGCTGGTTGGCAGGAGAGCGCACTGTAGCTCATTCCTCCCGGAGCTTTTCCTGGGCCTGGCTGGTGGTGGCCTGGGATGCCACCTTCCTCCTGCTGGGGCTGCCTCCACCCAAAGCTAGCCCCAGCCCAAGGCAGGCCAGAGCCAGGAAATGGATGCAGAAGTAGATGGAGGACCAGTACCGGAGTGTGTCGCCCATGGAGAGGAGCACGAAGCCCATGCACATGTAGTCGTAGGCGCGCATCTTCAGGAACCAGTGCACCCAGTCCCAGGCCTGCTGGCCCTTGGGGCTCAGCCGTCCCCGCAAGGCTGACTCCAAACAGCCCTCAGCGGCCAGGCACAGAGGGATGGTCATGAAGCTTAGGTAGTAGCCAGGGTGAAGGCCGTGCCAGTAGGCGCTCAGCAGCATGGTCCAGGCGCTCCTGGGGGAAGGGATTGTGAGAATCAGGGCGCAGGAGTCCAGGCTTCAGGTCTCCACTGTCTCAAGCCCCACTTCCTCAGACCCATGAGTCCAGGCCCAAGTTCTCCCTCTTCAGCCCAATGCTGCAGTCCCAGCCCTCTACCTTCAGAACCAGGGGTACAGACCTCAGTCTTCCTCTTTCGGACCAGAAATACAGACCCTGGCTCTCCTTCCTCAGACCCAGGAGTCCAGGCTCAGTCCTACTCCTGGTGTCCTGATGGCTGAGGAGGATTTGAAGCTGTTGTTTTGTTTCTGTGTCCTGGGGATTGATCGGGACTCTGTACAAGCTAGGCACATGCTCCACCACTGAGCTACACCCGGTGTTCTGAGCTGGCTTTGGGCTCCTTCCCCTTCCATCATCAACTAGCCTCAGTTCTTCTGCAGTTCCCAGCAAAGCTATCCTTGCCTTTAAGACTTAATGTAGTAGTTAGTTGCAGTGACACACATCTTTAATCCCAGCAAGCAGGAGGCAGAGGAAGGTAGAGGTCTGTGAGTTCAAGGCCAGCCTGATCTACATAGCTATTTCCAGGCCAGCCAAAAAGCAGAGAGAAAAAAAAAATTAGTCCTGGTCTGGAGAGATGGCTCAACGGTTAAAGCACTTGCTGGTCTTACAGTGAGGACCCACGTTCAGTTCCTAGCACCCATATGATGGCTCACAACCTCTTTAACTGTAGTTCTAGGGACTCTGACGCCCTCTTCTGATCTCCACAAGCACCATGCATGCACATGGTGCACATACATACATGCAGGGAAAATACACATAGTGAATAAAAATAAATCTTAAAAAAAAAAGAAAGACTTTATGTCTTATTTTTCAGGGCCCTTCCACCCTCAGAATTAAGAAATCCAATTCCTGATCTCATGATGTGGTTCCTGGCCCAGCATCTGTATCAGTGGACTTGTCAGAACTATAAACCTTCTGCCTGATCTCAGAGGCTAAGCAGGGCTGGGCTTGGTTAGTACTTGGATAAGAGAAATACAAGTTCTCAGGACCCATTTATCCCATGTGAAATCCTGGGTATAAGCCAGGCATAGTGGCACACATCTGTAATCTTGGCACTTGGGGACTGAGGCAGGAGGATCATAAGTTTCAGGCCAGCCTGGCCTACATAGTCAGATGCTATCTCAGAGAAAACAAACAAAGTACAAACCTACTAGAATTTCAATTTCAGACTGGCCATTTGCTCTCTGGTAGACCAACTACCTGGTATGAGAGACAGCTTCAGCTAGATTCCCTACTACTAAAATAGAAAAAGAAGGCCACAGAGGGATGCCTGACCCCTCCCTGAACCTGGATCCCCTATTCTTGCTGCTTTCTGGGAGCCCAGCTACCCCCTCCCACCACTTGTTTCCCACAGAACTCCAGTACCAGAAATCTCAGCCTCTTTTCTGTTTTGCTTTGTATTTTGGGACAGGCTCTCACTTCGTAGCCCAAGCTGGCCCCAACTCTCAATCCTCCTGCCTCAGCCTCCCCAGTGCTGAGATTACAGGCACGCAACACCAGTGGTTGGCCCTAGCATCCTTTTGCTATCAGGATCTAGGAACGTAATTCTCAGCTTGCTAAGACTCAGAAATCTCCAGGTTTGGGTCTGGGGAGATGGCTTGGGGTACAAGCCTGAGGACCAGAGATCAGAAATCCATGCAAATGCCAGGTAGGTATGTCAGCCCATCTATAATTCCAGCCTTGAAAGGCAGAGACAGGAGATCCCCAGAGCAAGAGGGCTAGCAAAGACTCCCCATATCTCTGTGGGGTCTGGTTTTGACCGAGAGACCCTGCCTCAATAAGGTGGAAGACCCATCAAGGAAGATCCGGGCCTGGAACTCACAACCCTCCTGCCTTCACCCCGAGTGCTGTAATGACAGGTGAGCCCTAGCCTGTCTGGCTTCAGTGTTCAGTTCTAACACCAACTTCTCCTCAGGTACCAGCATCACATTACTATCTGCCTCTCCAATGACCCCAGGAGGATAGCCGATAGCCACCTCATAGTTAATGAGATGAAACTCAAGCCTCGCTTCTTCCTTAACACATATCTCCACAAATCCCTCCTGCTACGTCTCCCCTTTCTGGGGAAAGGCTTTTCTGGGCCCGCGGTCACTGACCTGCTGCCTGGGAAACAGGCCTCATTTCTCTGCTCCCACTGTACACTCTAAGCCCTGACCTGTTCTTCCTCTCAAATCTACCTCTCTGGAAAGGTGGCCTAGGCCTTAAGAGCACTGGCTGCTCTTGCAGAGGACCAGGATTCTGTTCTCAGCACCCGCATGGTGGCTAACAACTAGCTGTAACTTCAGTTCCTGGGGATCCAACGCCTTTTTCTGGCCTCCAAGGGCTTTACACGCATGTAGTGCACTTACACAAATGCAGGAAAAACACTCATAAAAAAAAATAGTAAAAAATAGTAAAATATTTTTAAAAATTGAAACAAAAACCAGAAACAAATCTGAAAAGCAACCAACACCCTATCATAGCACTTGCTTTTCAAGACACCATATTTAGCGTATTTCACACTGCATCTAAATCTTCCTATCAACCTATAAAACAGTTTATGCCCCTTTAACAATAGAGGAGGGGCTGCAGAGACGATGGTTTAGTGGTTAAGAGCACTGGCTGCTCTTGCAGAGAATCCCAGTTCAGTTCCCAGAAACCACATGGCAGATAATAACTGTCTTTTTAAAAAAATGTTTTGTGTATGTGTGTATTCCCTGAATGTATGTAAGTGTGCCCATGCCATGCAATGCCCTCGGAGAACAGATGAGGCCATTGGATCCCCTGGAACTGGAGTTACAGACAATTGTTAGCTGCCATGTAGGTGCTGGGATTAGAACCCGGGTCTTCTGCAAGAACAGCCAGTATTCCTAAAGTGCTGAGCCGTCTCCAGCCCGATAGCTAATAAACGTCTTTAACTCCAGTTCCAAGGGATCCTATGCCCTCCTCTGACCTCTGCAGACACTGAATGCATAAGCACACACATGCTGGCAAAACACTCATACACATAAAATAAAAATAAAAAAAAATTTAAAAAAGAGGAAACAGGTCATTCAATTCCTCAAAGTTTTTCAACAGTCTGCAAAGATGATTCCGAAAACTCTGACCACATTGTTGAATGCAGTTGACCTTATGCCCCAGAGATTTACTCCAGTAAGCCCGAGAAACTACAACTTCCACAAGCGTCAGGACAACAGGTGGGGCTCCCTCACCTCAGAACATAGGAGCGGGCAGGTGCGCTCTTGTAGATGTACTGTGCCAGCCACCACTGTACCGTCATGTTCCAGTACCGCATGCCATCCCGCACCCGCACGCAGAAGTCTGTACCATAGCAGTCGATGTTACGGATGGTCTCATAGTCGTACTCCAGGGAAGCCGCATTCTCCGGACTGGGGGGGGTGGAGGATGAGGGTGGGGACAGACATGCAGCTCAGCCAGGCCCCTCCTGACGCCTGCTTCTGTCCCTTACCCGGATGCTAAACGGGATTCTGGCCAGGCAACAGCTCCCTCTCTCTCTCTCCAAGGCTGTGACTTGCTAGGGCCACAGGAGTGGATAGGCCAGAGGGAGCCAGATAGGTGGGTAGGGGCACAGTTCACTAACAGTGGAGTGCTCTGGGTAACTAGTGGGGTATGACACAGTCACAAAAAGCCTTGAGAGGCTATGGTCGTTAAGCTATGAAGTCCGTTAGCAACCAATCTCAGTATATTTTCAGAATAGTTTCTCAGTATGGCTCCCTCAGAACTGTGGGACAGAGTGGTTGGTAGAGAAAGTGGTTTATGGTTGCTAGGGTGATGTTCTAGGCCTTGTGAGTCTCACATCTCTGTTGTTAGGAAAATGGCATTCCTTAGCAACAAGGCCTAGCTGTTCAGAAAAACTTCCAGAACAGGCCTCTTTCGTGGTCCCTGTGATTGAGAAGTGTCATCTCCAGAAATAATAGAGGTTTCCAGATCCCTGATGCCAACACTGTCAGTGCTGGAGAGCATGTGTGGCCCATCTGAACCCCCAGTGACTTCTGATTACCAGAGGGAACCAATTCCTTAGAAGTGGGGCTCTGGAAATTTACAACAGCTTTTAATCTCTGCCTGACTTCTCTGAGGGGTACCCTCTCTCTAGCAGCTGAAGATCCACCCATGGTTACTAGGGCAGTGCTCATAAGTTCACGTGGGGTGCCACTACCCCCCAAACAGGATGGCAGTTTTTACAACTAGGGGGTGGCACAACCCTAGTAACACAGGACTGGTACTAAGCAGGACTATGAAAGTCCTGTAGATACTAGTTTTGACTCACCTAGCAACGACGAAGGTGCTGCGGGGGGCTTACTAGTAAAGAGTTTACTCTTAGTAATGGGAGGAGGGTGACCTGTGGCTGCTGGGAATGGGGCTCCCCCAGCTGGAGGAGAGCAAAGATGCTTAGAAACAGGGCAACTGGGAGCTGCTGTGATAATTAACATCCCATAATGAGGGGAGAGAGACAGGCAGTTCAGAGGGCGTATTCCACAGCCACAAAGAGCAGGACTTTTGGCAAGGAGCAAACCACAGTTGCTAGGGATACAGCTTCCTTAGCAAAGAGGGGCTATTCAGTTGCTAAGGAACTGTTTCCCCAGCAAATGAAGATGACCCACTACCAGAGGATGGCATCTCCAGCAACCAAGAACAACCTGGTTCTTGGGGTGACACTTTCCTGGCAACATGGGGCAGACACGTGGTTGCTAAGATACCACTTTCCTCTCCCTAGCAACAGAGGGCAATTAGCCACACTGAGGGGTGACAAGTGCTAGCAACAAGGGGCAGTCTGTAGGTACCAGGAACACAGCTTTCCCAAGTGACCACGGAAGGCTGGTGAAAGTCACCAGGGGGGCAATACACTGCCAGCCACAGGTGGTGGCCCTGCCCCCTGCTCCCGCTCTCCTCCCTGCTAGGGGCAGAGCCAGCCCTTGGTGGTGGGCCCTGCTGGGTCTTGGGAAGCCTCCCTCCCACCGCCTGACCTGCTGGGGGGTGGGCATTGGAGAGTGGGGCCGCCCCCGGCTCGGGCTTTGGCGGCCACAGGGTAGGCCCCGAAGCCCGCGGCAATGCAGCCGCACTCGGCCGCAATCCAGGCCACGTAGAAGCGCATGCGGAAGGCGAAGAAGACCGGGATCATGTAGAAGAGGCGGGTGGGCAGCGGGCGGGCGTAGAAGGCGTCCTCGCGCACGGCTTCCAGCGGGAAGAGGTGGGAGGACAGCAGGAAGAGCAGGCCAAACAGCGGAGCTGGCCAGGCACGGCGCAGCAGGGGCCGCAGGCTGGGCACAGCCCCCGGGAAGGGCTGCTCCAGCCAGTCCAGGTAGGTGCGGTAGCGGAAGAAAGGGCCTGTGGAGGGTGGGGAGGGGTAGGTGGTCAAAGACTGTGTGTCTGAACCCACTGAGAAGGTCCCTGGGAGGGAGAAAGGGGGGCAGGGGGAGGAGGAAGAGGAGGAGGAGGAAGAGGAAGAGAAGTAGGATGTGGGAAGAAGAGAAAGAAGGGGGGGAGAGGGAGGAGGAGAAGGGAGAAGGGGAGCAGGGGGTGGAGGAGGAGGAGTCTAGTCATGCTTTATATATGTAATTCATATTGCTACAACATATTCAAGATATAGAAGCCAAAACGAACTAGTAACCAGTGCAATGAGACAAATCCACTAGGAGCTTGGGTGTCACTGCACTGGCAAATTGCCATAAAAGTTTCTAGGCTTACATATTCCACTGTGCACCAATAAGTGTTGAGACCAGTTCCTGCGCACAGACTGCAAAGAGAGGAGCACTGGCATAGTCAGACCTGCCAGAAAAATCTACTAAGGCCACAGATGTTGAGAAAAAGGAGAAAGAAGAAAGGAGGAGGAGGAGGAGGAAGGGGAGGAGGAGGAGGGGGAGAGGGAGGAGGAAGAAGGGGAAGAGGAGGGGGAGACGGAGGAGGATGAGGGCAGTTTGTGGGTAGAGAAGAGGGGCAAAACTAGAGTGAGGAGACAGGCCCAGAGGGATGGGGAACTAGAGCCTAGGGGAAGACAAAGGACTGAACCTGGAGATGGGTGAGCTTGGTGTGAGTCACAGGTAGAGCAGTATTAGAGTGACAGGCCTGACAGGTGTAAGGAAAGGGATTTATTTACTCTCAGGAGATTAGGAAACCACTGTTTCTTGATGTGTAGTCCTGGCTGGCTTGGAACTCACTATGCAGAGCTGGTTCCTGGACACTTTCCATAAGCTCCCTCTGGCTTCTGACAGGCTTGGGTGGTGGAGGGGAGACAATGAGGGGAAGGAGGTGCTGAGGTTCCTGAGATACAGTGGTGTGTAGAGTGGGGAGGGTGAGGGGCCTGACTGAGGGACAGATGCTGAAAGTCCTTGTATGATCACAAGAGACCACATGTGTGGGATTCCATCTATAAGAAAAGTCCAGAAGAGGCATATTTATAGACAGAAGTCAATTAGTGGTTTCCAGGGATGGATGAGGTTTGGTGTTGATAAGTAGAGTGGGTAGGTGTTCCTTTTCAAGGAGATGAAGCTGTTCTGCGAACAAGTGCATATTGGTGATGGTTGCATAACTCTAGGGAGACACTAAAAGCCAGGAGTTACTTATATGTTTTAAGTAGGTGGATATATAAACAACAGCTCCATAAGGCTCTAGTAAGAAAAAGAAAACCTGAGCTGGGTATGGTGGCGCACGCTTTTGATCCCTGGGAGGCAGAGGCAGGTGGGTCTGTGAGATTGAGGCTAGCCTGGTCTATACAGTGAGTTCCAGGTCAGCCAGGGCTACAGAGAGATCCTGTCTCAAAAAGACCAAAAATAAATAAATAAGGAAGGAAGGAAGGAAGGAAGGAAGGAAGGAAGGAAGAAAAGAAGAAAGAAAACCAGGCTATGGAAGGTAGCTCAGTGGTGGAATGTTTGCCTAGCATGCACAGACTCTGGGTTTGTCCCCAGTACCACAAAACAACAAAACAAACAACCTGGCAGACATGGTAGCACATGCCTGATAATCCCAGCTCCTGGGAGGCTGAAGCAGAAGGGTTGTGAGTTCTAGGCCTGCCTGGGCTATACAGAGAGACCCTGTCTCAAATAAAAACAAAGGAACAGGGCCAGCCAGATGGCTCAGTGGATAGAGGCACTTGTGTGAAGGCCTGATCACCTGAGTTTGATCACTGATTCCCACAAAGTGACAGGAGAGAACCCATTCCCAAGAGTGGTCCTCTGAGCGCCACATGCATGCCATGGCATACATGTACTTGTGTACACACACACACACACACACACACACACACACACACACACAATAAATACTAAAAATTTTAAAAGAATAGCTTATGAGGTAGGACTGGAGATACAGCTGTTTAGCACGCATGAAACCCTGGGTTCAGTCCTCATCAAATTAACTCAGCATGATGATTTTCTGAGCTAGGTTAGGTGGCACAAACATGTGATCTTACCACCCAGAAGGCTGAGAAAGGACGATAGAAAGTTCAAGGCCTACTCATGAAACATAGACACCTTGCCTCAAAATAAAAAGGTTTAAAGAAAAAAAGGCAGGATCGGAGGGCTGGGGCTATAACTCAGTGGTCAAGCATGTGTCTGGCATCCACGAGGCCTTAGGTTTAATCCTTAGTAGTGTTCCACCCCCTCAAAGAAAGGAAAGGTATTTTCTGAAACTGAATATAGACCCTGAACCGTGACCGTCTATTCAGAATCACCAGACTCCCACAGCCCTAGCTCCTTTCTTTCCCCTACTGGCCCCCAACAGGAGAAAAGGAAGCAATCTCTATAGCTCTGGCCCTACAATCAGTACAGGACAGCAGGTGGGAAAGTACAGGGGTAGCCTGGGATGGGGTGCAGAACACACAACGGGCAAGGGACTCAGGATCGAGTGAGGGGCAGAGGCAGCTGTGCTGGGCTGACCTACTTACCTGTCATGATTCCCACGTAGCAGTAGCTGTAGTTGAGCGTTTCCATCAAGGAGGGAACGTCAGGCAGGAGGCCCATGGTGGGCTCCTTGCTGAAGCCTGAGGCCATTTCCTTCCTCTGGGCCAGATGCAGGTCCTGGACTTCACTGGCCAGACTCACCAGCTGAGGGAAGAGAGAGGGAGGTGGGTGGGTCCTTTTCATACTCTGTTCAGCCTGTAGCTGGGGCTGAGCTCCCACCCCACAGGTGACACTGCATATCCAGACAGGTGGAAAGATGCTCTCGCTGGTGGCCACATCCAGGGCTAAGCCCCAGTCCTCTTCTGTTTTGTCTTTACCTGCTTTCACACAATTCTATAGTCCCCTGACCCTTGTGTGTGTGTTTGTCTGTCTCTCTGACACAGGGCCTTTCATATGCTAGGCAAGTGCTGTACCATTCAGCTCCACTCTGAATTTTTTGTTTTGTTTAGGTTTTTTTTTTTTTAATTTTATTATTTTTATTTTATGTGTATTCGTGTATTGCCTGCATGTAGGTAAGTGCACCTGTGTTGTGCAATTCCCACAGAGGTCAGAAGAGGCTGTTGGATCCCCTGGAGTTACGGACAGTTGTTAGCTTCCATGTGGGTGCTGGGATTTGAACCCAGGTCTTCTGCAAGAACAACCAGTGTTCTTAACCGCTGAGCCATCTCTCTAGCCCCTTGTTTAGCTTTTTGAGACAGGGTCTCACTGTGTAGTCATGGCTGGCTTGGAACTTGCTATATAGCCCAGGCTGGCCTTGAAGTCACAGAGATCCTGCCTGGATCTATCTCAGTGCTGGGATTAAAAGCCTGTACCACCATGCCTGGCCCTACCTTTAAATTTTTTAAATTTCATGTGTATGAGTGTTTTGCCTTCATGTATGCAAATGCACCACATGTGTGTAAAGTCTACAGAGGACAGAAGAGGGTGTCAAATCCCCTGGAAATGGAGCTGCTGACATCTGTGGGTGTTAGGAACCCAACAGGGATCCTCCACAAGAGCTGCTAATGTTCCTAACCACTGAGCTACCTCTCCAGCTCCCCCCACCATTCTTAATTTTTCTATTTTTTTCTGGACACAGGATCTCCCTGTAGCCCCAGCTGGCCTGGAATACACTCTGTAGACCAGGCTGGCCTCAGTCTCAAAAAGAGATCCACTTGCCCCTGCCACTCTAGTGCTGGGGTCAGAGGTGTGCATCATGCCTGGCTCACATTTTAAAATCTGGACGCAGGGGTCCGGCTAAATGGCCCAGGCTGTCCTTGAACTCACTTCTGTAGCTCAGGCAGGCCTTGAACTTGCCATGCCTCTCTAACTCAGCCTTCTGAGGAGCTGAGACTGCGGAGCCGTACAAGGCCCAGCTTGTCCGTTGCTTTTTGACTCCTCTATGGGGCTGATGCTGTCCTAAATGCCTTTCCTCATCTGCTCTACCTGGTGAGCTACTCACCCAGAGCCAAAGCCCAGCAGGCGGATGAAGGCAAGAGACTGAAGCTAGGGATTCTCTGGGGACCCTTTTCCTTCTAGGTTCCACAAGAAGCAGTCCTCCCAATCTTCACCCCCAATAAGTGTCCAGCTCCTGTTCCAGGATTCCTGCATAATTCTCCCGCCATCCTACCCACACCACTGTGAATAAAAATTCTTTATGTTATCCTGAAAGCAACATTTTCTATGGTAACTGTGTCACCTATATACAGCCCACAGTATGAATCAAGCTGGCTCCAATCACCTGACTTGGTTGGTTTTTGTTGTATTTGTTGAGACAGGCTGTAAATTATGTAGGGATGATCTATTTTAAAAAATAATATATTCTTTTTTTCTTTTAAATGTGCATGACTGTTTTGCTTGCATGTATGTAAGCGCACCAGTGTCATGCAGTGCCCCAACAGGTCAGATGAGAGTGCCAGACCCCCAGCTACTGGCATTTTGGACAGCTGTTAGCTGCCATGTGGGTGCTGGGAATTGAACCTGGGTCCTCTGCAAGAGTAGTCAGTGCTCTTAATTGCTGAGCCATCTCTTCAGCTCTATAGAGGATGATATTTTAAAAAATATTTAAAATTTTTTTGTCTTTTTGCAACAGGGTCTCCCTGTAGCCCCAGCTGGCCTGGAACTTGCCATGTAGACCAGGCTGGCTTCAAACTAACAAAGATCTGCCTGCCTCTGCCTCCTGAGTGCTGGGACTAAAGGCATGGAAAATTTTTTATTTTTATTTTCTGTGTGTATTTTGCCTGCATGTACATATGTGTACCATGTGTGTGCCTGGTGCCCACAGAGGCCAGAAGAGGGTGCTGGATCCCATGGAACTGAAGTTACAGATGGCTATAAGCCACCATGTGGGTGCTGGGAACTGAACCCAGGTCCTCTGCAAGAGCAGCACTTGTTCTTAACTGAGTCATCTTTCCAACCCATTAGGGATGATTTTGAATTCCTGATCCTTCTGCCTCCATTTCCCAAGTGCATCACCACACCCGGCTTTTGGTTTATTCTTTTTTGTTTGCTTTCAGACATGGTCTCACTCTGTAGCCCAGGCTAGCCTCAAACTGGAGGCAATTCTCTTGCCCTACCTCCCCAAGTGTTGGGATTACAGGTGTGAACCACCAAGCCAGCTAGTCACCTGACCTTTGAAAATAAGACTCCATTTCAATCCATCTCACCCTGCTCCATGTCAATTCTCCCTTATGCATTCAAGATGAATTATCATTTTGTTATTATTTTTTGACAGGGTCTCACTGTGTATCTGTGGCTGGCTAGGACCTATATATCCCAGGCTTGAGCTCACAGAGATCTGCCTTTCTCTGCCTTGCAAGTGCTGGGATTAAAGATGTGTGCCACCACACCCAGCCAAGATGAATTATTATTATTATTATTATTATTATTATTATTAGTGTTTTTGAGACAGGGTCTCCCTGTAGCCCCAGCTGACCTGGAACTATGTAGACCAGGCTGGCCTTGAACTCACAGAGATCCACCTGCCTCTGCCTCCCGAGTGCTGGGACTAAAGGCATGCGCCACTACGCCCAGCAATGAATTATTTTTAAACAGGTAAAATTGGTCACATCTGTCTCCTGGCAATAAACCAAAAACCTTCTTCTAGTGGGATCATGGCCCCTATAGAAGAAGTGCAAACTTTTCACCCTGGCCAACAAAACCTGTGCTTTGCTGCCCACTCCCATGCGTCCTTCAGAAAGTGATGTGGCAGGCATAGTCTGTGCCTCATATGCTGGTCCACACATATCCTGAAAGGCTCTGCTTCCAACGCTCAGCTAATCAACCCCTGCCCACCACTGAGCTCACAGTAAGAACAAAGAATGCTGGAGAGGGGGCTGGAGAGATGGCTCAGTAGTTACGAGTGCTGGCTGCTCTTGCAGGGGACCTGGGTTCTGTTCTCAGCACCCATATGGTGGTAACAACTATGACTCCAGTTCCAGGAGATCTGATGTCCTTCTCTGGCCTCTGTGGACATTGCACACACATGGTACACATACATATATGCAGGCAAAACACTCATACACATTAAAAAAAAAAAAAAAAAAAAAAATTCGGATAACATGAATGCAGGAGAGACCAGCTCTCAACTTTGCAGAACTGTCCACATACAGGTCACTGGAGCCCAGAACATAGCAAAAACTTACCACTGTTTAGGTCTGGGTCGGGGTCTGAGAGTCTGTTTCTCCCATCTTCCCGCTGATTGAGTGTCAGACCCAAGACTGAGGGTGTAGCTCAGTTGGTTGACTGCTTCCCTAGTGTGTGTGAGGCCCTTGGTTTGATCCCCAGCACCACTTAACCAGACATGGTGGTACCTGCCTATAATCCCAGCACTTGGGAGGAACAAAAGTTCCAGGTGATCTTTGGGTACATCACAGTGAGTCTGAGGTCAACACAGGGTACTACAAGAAACCCTGTCTAAAAAAAGACTAGACTTGGCAGGCCCAGCTTTGTGCCCTTGGGCCAGAAACTTTATCTCCAGAGTTTTTCCTCCTTTGTAGGAGGACTTGCTATAGACTCAAGAAGAGCTTGTTGGCAAAGCATGCTGGACAGGTATCTCCAGGTGTGCCAAATGGCTTGTGATAAAGCCCTTTCTTGATCCTAGAATGGGTGAAGAGGTGAAAACCTGCTTCAGTATATGTCAAAGGTGAATCCTGTCCCCAGGCAGAGGAGAAGTTCTATGCTTAGGGTTCAAGGTTTGTGAGAGATAAAATCCAAGGCCTGACCACCAAGAGAAAGCCTGGGAAATACAGGGGGGAGGCCAAACTGGCTCTCAGGGTAAGTGCAGGGGGGAGGGTCTGGGAGGCTCACCTTCAGTGTCAGGAGCAGCTGGACAGCGTTCGTGAAGGGCGTGGGAGTGGGCAGGCCCAGCAGGCTGAGGGCTCGGAAGAAGAGGAGGTAGGAAAAGGTCCAGGCGAGAGCCAAGGCGTGACAGGAGCTGGGGCAGAGGTGGCAGGTCATTGTGTTGGACATGGGAACCTCAGCCTCTGTTTCTTTCTCTCCAGAGCCTAGCTTCAAATCCTCCCCATCTCTCCCCATTCAGACAGAAAAGAGGAGGGCAGAGAGAGGACCAGGGCACGGCGGCAGGACTGAAGAGCCCTGGCCATATGGAAATGCACAGCCACAGAGAAGGAAGGGTGAAGAAGGGTTCCGATGACATTTCAGCCCTTCACAGGAACCCGGGACTCAAGGCAGGGGTGTGATGATTGTGGCTGCCTATGGCATGGATAAAGAGGACTGGGGCACACACAGAGGATCAAGAAGATCCGAGAACACGGTGAGAGAGGAAGGAAAAGAGCCAAGACACAAAGAGACAAGTAGATAAAAAGGAGACATCCAGGGACTGATGGAAGATTTGAAGAGGAACAGGTTGTTCTCCTCTCTGTTCTCCCCCTCTCCACCCAGTTCTCACCAGGGCTGGGCCTGAATGAGGGCCCAGGTTCCCAAGATGGTGATCAGAGAATGCAAAGTGTGGGGGCCACAGGTGAATAAGGTGAGCCCCAGGCCCACAGCTGCCGCCCCCCATCTCTTCAGCCCAGGTCCTGCAAGGAAAAGGGACAGAATAAGCCTGGAACCTTCCAGGGGAGGGAGAACCCCACCCCAACTCCCTCACCCTAATTTTCCACTGGGGGGGGGGCCTGACTCACCAGCTTTCTTAAAGAGGAAGCCGATGGGGATGGAGATAAGAAGAACCACTAGATAGGTCCACTCTTCGGGTGTCATGGTCTGCGGGAGGAAGGGCTCTTAGTGAGAACCCAAGGTTCCAGTCCCTTCCTCTTTTGAGCAGAGTAGAATCTCCTCCGATTGAGAGCCCAGGCCTCCGGCTCTGAGTTCCCACCTCCTTCCAGTACCCAGCAATCCAGCTCCTAGCTCCACTCTTGCCAAGAAATCAAAGCTACTCTCCAACACCCCCCAAGCCCTCTCCATCCCAGAAAATAACCTCTTACAAGACCGTCCAGAGACAGTGCAGGAATTCATAACACCCACCTTCTCCTGCTTTGAGGATCCAGGAACCCTCTAGACTCCTGTCTGGATTCCTTCATCCCCTCTATCTGGGAAGACCCAAGAACTCGAGATCCCCCACACCCGCCCAGACCGGAAGAACCCAGGGCATCTAGGCTCCACTTCTCTCCGGAGCCTAGGCTCCTTTTCTACCCAGACCCTCGACAGGAGGAAGCAGTGACCCTGGCGGATCTGCAAGCTCCCTCCGCAGTCCCAAGCCCCGCACAGCGCAGTCCCGAACCTCGCGCAGCGCAGCCCAGCGTGGACCGGATCCTGCCCCAGCAGAGCCACAGGCGGTTACGCCACCGGGCCTGGCCACGCTCCTGGCGCTGTCCCCTCACCCTGCCACCCTCCGATCGCCAGCGATGCCGCCGTGCAACCCCACCCGGTCCCGGGCACCCCCGGCCCGGCCCACCTGAGTGCCCCGCCGGCCAACAGGCAGCGGAGCAGCCCTAGTTCCGGTCCGCAGCGGCTCCGGCCACGCCTCCCCCGCTCTGCACGCCCCCGCACCGCCTGCTCTTGGGGGAGCCGCAGGGCTGCGCCGTCCAGACCCCGGGGCGCAGCCGCCGACGTGCTTCAGCCAGGTAAGGACAGAAGGCAGAGCACGAATCCGCAACTGGATCCGGGCCGCGTTGCTTCTGCGAGGCCCGAGGCAAGGAGCCCCTAGTACGTGTGGGGGCGGGGCTTGAGGTCAGAGAGGCGGGGCCTGGAGCGCGGTTCGGAAAGAGGCGGGGCCTGGAGCGCGGCGTTCGGAAAGAGGCGGGGCCTCAGCTTCGGGTTCTTTCGGGTGCCGTCAGGCGTTCAGACTCACGGCTTGGAGGCGGGGCCACATGCTTCGGCTTTCTTGGGATAGCCGAATTCTATAGTCAGCGTTTGGAATTAGCCGGGCGTCACAGAGGCGACCGGATGTGGGCGGGGCCACATGCTGCGGCTTTCTTCGGAGATAGTTGGAATTAGGCGGGGTCAAACTTCGGCAGAATTTGGGCGGGGCCACATGCTTTGGTTTACTTCGGAATTAACCAAGAGAAACTCGGCGGTAAGTGGGCGGGGCCACATGTTTCCGCTTGCGTCGAATAGTTAAGGTGACTGTGAAATGCAGGCAAGGCCTCAAGGCTTGGCTTAGTTTTGGAAAAACTCGGGTGTAAGTAAACTTCGTTTAGTGATAGACAGAGCCAGCAGCTTCTCCAAACATCGAGCCCTGTCTTCAGGAGGAAGGCGGAGCCATAGAAGACCTGAAAAAGGCGATGAGCGGGATAAAGGGGCGGAGCTGAAGTGACCCAAGGGGGTGGGACCCTGACTAGGGGCGGGGCGAAAGCGACCTAAGGGGGCAGGACCGAAGCGACCTAAGGGGGGGAGGGGCTTGGGGTTTGGGGCGGGGCCAGGGCAATGACCCTCAAGTTCCCAAGTTGCGAAACCCGGGCGGCCCGGAGAGGTAGGCCGCGCGTGCCCCAGGTTTCCCGCTTCGCTGACGTGACCCGATGACGACTGACGCCGGTGGTCGGCAGGGTGGGGGTAGGCACAGCAGTCGGGGACGCGCCACGTAGGGACTGGCTCCGCCCGGACTGACAGTTGGCGTTGGCCAGGACTTCCTGGCCCTGCCCGAGGACAGTGGGACAGGCCAAGAGGAAGCACGGACGCGGACCGAGCGCTGCTGGGACAGCGGGTGCGCAGGGGGCAGGACCTCCGGTTGTGGGGTTCAGTCGTGGGCGGGAACTCCAGTGGAAGGGCAGGGGGTGGGTGGGGCCACAGCCGATGGATTGACTGGAGCAGGGGAGGCTCAGAAGCCGAACCTCTAGCGACCGGGGGTGGGGGGGGCGGGGCTGTTTCGAGGAGCCGAGCTCCTCCGATTGCATTCGGCAGTCGAGCGGGAATCACCCGAACCCCGAATCCTCGGTGTTTGGAAGGAGGCGGGGCTTCCGATTGGGTGGAGCCGAGGATGCCCAAACCTCGCCTCGAAGCCTGGGTACACAAGATGGAGCGGTGGTTTCGGTCCACGAAGGTCTGACTCGAATGAGAAGGCGGGAAAGGCCAAATTTGAAGATCCGAAAGGGGTGGGGGCTGGTTTCCCAGTTTCTAGAAGAGGGTGTGGCCTGGGAAAATCCCTACCCCACGCTTGGGGGTGGGGAATGTTCCGAGATCTGTGGGACACAGCCGAAGGAAGACATCCGCTTTGCGAAGAAGGTGGCGCACAGATGCTCAATTAGGAGAGGGCGCCGCACCGCGGTTTCTGTCCGGGGCCACATGGCATGCAGGGTAGCGTGGACAGAGTTGTTGGTGACTGCGAGTTAAAGGCGGGGCAGAACCGTGGGACCCGGGAGGGGGCGTGGCCTGGCCGGAGATGGGCGGTGTTTGGCCCGGGACGCAGGTGGGAAGTCTGGCCCCGCCCCCTCGCTCTCAGGGGCGGGGCCTCGCTTGCCCTGGGGGCGTGGAAGGCTGGGGACGGCCCCCGGGTTGTCTGGCTGGCTGCAAGCCCCCCGACTCTCTGCAGGAGGATGCTGGTGGTGGAGGTTGCCAATGGCCGCTCGCTGGTGTGGGGAGCCGAGGCCGTGCAGGCGCTGCGGGAACGCCTGGGGGTCGGGGGCCGCACTGTAGGTGCCCTGCCCCGCGGGCCCCGCCAGAACTCGCGCCTGGGCCTCCCGCTGCTGCTCCTGCCCGAAGAGGCCCGACTCCTGGCCGAGATAGGCGCTGTGACCCTCGTCAGCGCCCCGCGCCCAGATCCTCGCAGCCATGGCTTGGTAAGACCTGCAGGGCCCCCGAGGTGGGAAGGCCTGGGAGTCCTGTCCTGGAAGGACGATGTGGGGAGGGGTGGGGTCTGGATTCCTGTCTTCCCAAGTGACTTTCCCCGAAACCGGCGGTGTGCTGGGGTTCCACTTAATTTCACTTCCCAGGCTCTGGCATCGTTCAAACGCCAGCAAGAGCAGAGTTTCCAGGAGCAGAGCACGTTGGCTGCAGAGGCCCGTGAGAACCGTCGTCAGGAGCTCCTAGAGAAGATCGCCGAGGGCCAGGCTGCCAAGAAGCAGAGGCTAGAACAGGATTCAGGGGCCGACGAGAGCCAAGAGGCTGGGGGAAGCAAACCTGCCCAAGGGAGTGAGACCAACAGTGATAGGCAGGCTTCTGGGGAGCAAGAGGTGGCAGGTGAGTGTGGGGTTTGGAGTTAGGAGCCGAGGTAGGAGAGGACGAAGCTTTGGGGAGTTTAGGTCCGGGTTTTCGAGGATGAGGACGAGAAGATTGTGCCTCTTGGATTCATTAAATTCTTATGTACTTTCCCCAGGATCCTCTTCTCCCCAACCAGGGCCTTCAAATGGGGTGACCCCTTTGCCCAGATCTGCCCTGCTTATCCAGCTGGCCACAGCCAGGCCTCGACCAGTGAAGGCTAAGCCTCTGGACTGGCGTGTGCAGTCCAAAGACTGGCCCCATGCTGGCCGCCCTGCCCACGAGCTGCGCTACAGCATCTACAGAGACCTGTGGGAGAGAGGCTTCTTTCTCAGCGCTGCAGGGAAGTTTGGTGGTGACTTCCTGGTGTATCCTGGTGAGTTGGAAGTCTGGTGGGTGTGCCTTTCCTGGTGTTCTGCATTTTCTCACTGTCTCCCCTCTTAGCCACTGAAGCCTAGAAACGGACTGCAAACAAACGCATGGGCACTCTCATGTTCACGTGGAGGGCGCTTCGGTAGCTGTTCTGCTCTGTCAGGGTCTCACTATGTAGCCAAGACTAGCAGAATTTTCTGAGTAACACAAGCTGGACTTGAGCTCAGCATCCTCCTTCCTCAGCCTCCCAAGTGCTGTGGTTATAGACATGCAGGACCATACCTGCCTTGGTTTAGTAACTTATTAAACGCTTTCTTTGATCTAGAAGATTTGCTTACAGATCTTTATATACATATATATTATATGTATATAAGTATATTCAGGGCTGGAGAGATGGCTTAGTGTTTAAGAGCACTGACTGCTCTTGCAGAGGACCCGAGTTTGATTCCCAGCACCCACATTGTGGCTCAACCACCTATAACTCAAGTTCAGGGGATCTGATATCCTCTCCTGTCCCCTGAAGGAATTAGGCATGCACAAGATGCACATACATAACATATAGGCAAAAATGTCCATACACATAACTACATATTTTAAAAATTGGAAAAAATGGGGCTGGAGAGATGACTCAGTGGTTAAGAGGAGCACTGGCTATTTTTGCAGAGGACCCAGGTTTGAATCCCAGCACCCACATGGCAGCTAACAACTGTCTGTAACTCCAGGTCCAGGGGATCTGATACCCTCTTCTGTCCAAGAGCACAACACAGGTGCACTTACGTATAAGCAGGTATAACATTCATACACATAAAACAAAAATAAATAAAAAGTTTTAAAAAACTGAAAATGTGTATGGTAGGTTATATTTTAACGTAGATATGTAACTGTATGCATGTCATGTATATAGCCTTGAACTTTGTGCTCTGGCTGGGTTTGGGGATCATGCCTACAATCCCAACTACTTGGGACACTGAAGCAGAATTACTGGAGCTGAGGAGTTAAAAACCAATATGTGGCATAGTGAGATTCTTGTCTCCAGACAAAGTCACTCGAGGTTAAAATAATTAGGTTAAAGCCAGTCATGGTGGCACACGCCTGTAGTCTCAGCACTTGGAGGCAGAGGCAGGTGGATCTCTGTGAGTTCAAGGTCAGCCTGGTCTACATAGTGAGTTCCAGGACAGCTGGGGCTGCAGGGAGACCCTGCTTCAAAAAGACAAAAAAAAACAAAAAAAAACCCAAAAAACCCAAACAAAATAATTAGGTTAAATCAGTTAATTACCTTGTCCTACACATTTGTTATTTTTTTGACACAAGATCTCACTAAGCTGGCACCTGACTCACCATTTTATAGTCTGAGGTGGTCTTGCCTCAGTCTCCTCAGTCGTAGCATAACAAAGACGTGCGTCCACACCCTGCTCCAACCCTATACATTAAACACAGCTAAATATTTAGTTCTGGTTTCTTTTTTTTTTTTTTAAATTTTACATGTATGAGTGTATTGCCTGTATGTGTGTAAGTGCATCCGTATTGTGCTGTGCCCAAGGAGGTCAGAAGAGGGTGTCTGAGCCCCTGGAACTGGAGTTACAGATGGTTGTTAACTACCATGTGGTTACTGGGACTTGATCCCTGGTCCTCTGCAAGGTCAGTCAGTGCTCTTAACTGCTGCTCCATCTCTCTAGCTCTTCTCTCTTTTTTTCTCGCTCTCCCCCCCCCTTTTTTTTTTGGTCTTTTTTTGAGACAGGGTCTCCCAGTAGCCCCCAGCTGGCCTGGAACTCACTGTGTAGACCAGGCTGGCCTTGAACTCACAGAGATCTGCCTACCTTTGCCTCCTGAGTGCTGGGATTAAAGGTGTGCACCAACATATCTGGCTTCTCTTTTTTTAATAGTGTTGTATGTCATTTAGTCTGGCTTCAAACCTACATGTGTTCCTATCTCTGCACCTCAAGTGCTGGGGTAGTTATCATGAATGAACAACCGTGCCTAGCCCTGACCAATTAGTTCTAATAGGCCAATATTTCTGGAATGGTAAGTGCTCAATGCACTGGGTAGTGAGAGAATCCTTCCTTGCCTTCTATACAGTAGCATTCAGAGTCTGAATCATGAGAACCCTTGACTCCATGTAGTAGCATTCAGAGTCTGAATCACTTTGTTTCTACATTAAAAGTTGCTAAGCCTTGGGGCTGGAGAGATGGCCCCGCAGTTGAGAGTGCTTGCTGATCTTGCAGAGGACTTGGGTTTGTTCCCAGCACCCATGTGGCAGCACATAACTGTCTATAACTCTAGTTCCAGGGGATCTGATACCCTGTTCTGGGCTCTGTGGGTAGCAGATACACATGTGGTACACATAGATGCATGCAGGCAAAATACTCATTCACATAAAATAAAAGTAAATTACAAGTCTCTAGGAAAAGAGTTACAGGATTAATTTCTCAAGCATTTTGGCATTCCCATTTCAGCTGACTGAGGCATGGTAACAACCAGAGATGCCTGGCTCCTCGCTGGGTGCTCACCTGAATCCCAGCTGCTAGGCTGGGCCTTGTTTTAGGGATACAGTGACTTTAGAATATCACAGTCTTACCATGTAGGCCTATAATGCCAACTACTTGGGAGGCTAAGGCAGGAGGATTAGGTCAAGGCCAGCCTGGGTTACACAGCAAGTTCAAGATCAGCACGGGCAACTTAGACTGTCTTAGAAAGATAAGAGGGCTAGGCATGTAGCTCAGTATAGAAGTCTCACCTAGTGGATACAAGGCCCTGGCTTCCATACCGAGCACTGCAAAGAAACTAAAATGGAAATAAATAAAATCCCATGTTGGCATTCCTACCCAGCCCCCTTCAGAAGGGAACTGCTATGTCTGTCTCCTCGTAGGTGACCCACTGCGCTTCCATGCTCACTACATTGCTCAGTGCTGGGCGGCTGAGGACCCCATCCCACTGCAGGACCTGGTCTCTGCTGGCCGCCTGGGAACCAGCGTCAGGAAGACACTGCTGCTCTGCTCCCCTCAGCCTGATGGTAAGGTGGTCTACACCTCCCTGCAGTGGGCCAGCCTGCAGTGAGCATCGCAGACCCAGGAGCTGTGGCTGAGTGTGGTGAGAGCCTTCCTGGATGGTCATCTCCCGGAGGAGGCTCGTGGCCTCCTGCCCTATCCACGGTTAGTTCCAATCCCAGGGCTGTGAACACTCGGTTTTTCCTGTTTAAGGCACTTACTGGCTGTGTTGTTTTGTAGTAATAATTTCTAAGCTGTGAGCTTGTTGAGAATGGAAACTGGGTTTGGTTCTTCTGTTTTCTACAGGGCTTGGAGCCCAGCATTCTCAATAAATTTGTTAAATAAATGTCCTGTTTGTGATGAGTCCTTACAATAATCTGGGAAGTATAGGAGCTTTCATCTGCATATTCAGGTGAGAAAAAGGCGGGAAAATGACTTGCCCAGGGTCACGTAACATTAAAATTTTGTTTTGTTTTGAGACAGTCTTGGTATGTAGTCTGGGCTGACTTTGAACTCCAATCCTCCTGCCTTGGCCTCCTGATAGCTCAGAGAGTGGGTGTTTGTCATCATGCCAGGCTTCAGATTTTGTTAATGTAGTACAGTCGCATGAGTAAAGTTCTGAGGTCTCAAATTCCCAGAGACCTGCCTGCCTTGGCCTCCCTGGTACTGGGATTAAATGTGTACACCACCATGCCTAGGGGCTGTCTTTTTCTAGTAGGAATCCAGAAAGCCAGATGGCCCTTCTTGTGACAGTTGGACCAAAATGGCTAGGGCTTAGTAACTGCTGGTGTCCACAGTTTTTATCACCACTTCCAACGTAGGGCTGTACTAGACACTTAGTTACTGTGACCAGCCTAAGGGAGGAAAAGGCTTATGTTGGCTCACAGTTGAGGGGATAGAGTTCATGACAAGGAAGGCCTGGCAGAATGAGTGGCTGGTACCCAGGCAGGTCAGGGTGATGGTTAATGTTGTCAACCTGGCAGGACCTAGGAGACAGGCCTCTGGACATGCTTGTGAGGAGTATCTGGATTCAGTTAAGTCTTTAGCATCCCAGGAAAGGATGGTCTAGATTAGGTTAATTGAGGAGGGAAGACCCTCCTTATTTGTGGGTGGCACCAGTCAGTAGAGTGGGATCCTGGACGGAAGAAAGAGAAAGAGCTGAGCACCAGCATCTACTGCTGTCTGCTTCCTGACTGAATTCAATGTGAGCAGCTGTCTCAGGCTTCTGCCCCTCAGCCTTCCCCACCAAGCTGGACTGTACCCTGGAACTTTGAGCTGGAATAAACCTTTCCTTCTTCAAGTTGCTTTTGCCCCCAGGGTATTTTGTCACAGCAACAAAACAATATAATCGGGAGGCAGAGAGAAAGCACTACAGAGATAAAAGGCCAAAAATAATCAATTTTACTGCCAGGCCCAAACAACTTGTGTGTCCCCTCCAGACTTACAACACAGACATCTGGAGCCAAACACCTAATGACCCATGGCTGCTTGAGCAAATGGCCAGTCTCAAGAAAAACAACTTCAGTTATTGTTGGGGACCCCTGCTGTTTAGGGTAGCAGTCTCCCCATGTCCGGATAGCCGCAAGCCGGCTCGGTGCAAATGGGGAGACTCCCCTTCTCAGCGGGGCGCCTCCTGCTCTCCTCCCTGACTTACTTTTGAAATGCCCGTCACAGATACATGCCCTCCGGCACAGAAACTACCAGGCTTTAATCAGGCATTATCTGATAGCCTGATAGAAGCCCACCGCCCTATGTAAATGAAGCATTCCAGGAGCACCTATCAGCTAAGGCTTTTCTACTGTCTCCACACTATAAATAATCCTAGTTTTACCCCAATAAAGCTGGAGCTGAATCACTGAGATCTGAGCTGAGTCACTTGTCTGAAGCTGTAACACTAAATCCTGTGATCCAGTCTCCCCAGGGGGCGCTATCCTTCTGTCATCAACTCACGAAGACCCTGCTTTCGCTGTTTCTCGCACCTCCCCTCATGACCTGGTGGCCAACGGGTCTCGAACTTAGAGGGAGTGCACGGTGGAAAATTGAAACAGAACCCGACCGGGCAGGGCCACCAGCTCAGGTAGCAGAGACCCTCAGCAACGCGGTGCGCGAAACCCGTGCACCCCAGTGGCGGAGAGCCAGGGACCCAAACAGCAGACGCGGCCCGCGGGACCCGCCGCACTCCAGCGACGTGTGGGAGACCGGTGCCACGCCCAGCAGCTGGCGACCCGAGATCCCCGCACGCCCATAAGTTATAAAACTCACTGCTTAAGTTGGGCATGGGGGCATACACCTTTAGTCCCAGCACTCAGTAGGCAGAGGCAGGCAGATGTCTGAGATCGAGCCCAGCCTGATCTACATAACAAGTTTCAGGCCAGCTGGGACTACAGGGAGACCCTGTTGCAAAAAACAAAACCACCAAAAAAACCTCACTATGTAACAAAATAGAGATGCCTATCCAGATACGTGCCCCCCAGTGGTTCATGAGATAATCAAGTCCTCCTCAACTACTATAAAAGACCCAACCCATCTCAGTTTTGGGGCCTCTCTCTCTGGGAACTTGCCCACTGTCCTCTATCAGTATATTTCAATAAATTCTTTTTTTTGGAGGGGGGTTGGAGACAGGGTCTCCCTGCAGCCCCAGCTGGCCTGGAACTCACTATGTAGACCAGGCTGGCCTTGTAATAAATTCTCTTTGATATGTCCCCCGTCAGCCATCTGCATGCTCCTCTATGTGGGAGAGAATATGGGTACTCGGCTTTCTCCTTCCCCTTCTTAAACTGTCGGGGCCCCCACCCCATGAGATGGGTTGGTCCACATTCCTCTTCAAACATACACCAAGCTGGGCCTCATTAATGCCCTAGTTGTTTCTTAATCCAATCAAATTGACAGTCAAAATTAACCATCACAAGGAGCAACCAGAGAAAGCCCAGTGTGCTCCTATAACCAATCACAGCCCATAGATAATCTATAGATTTCCCAAGTCATCAGCCTCCACTCAGGACCCCCACCTTTGGTGGTACTGAGGCTGTAACCCAGGACCTCGTGCATGCTAGGCAAGCCTTTATCACTGAGTTAATAGCTCCATCACTTTTTACTTAAATTTTTAATTTATTTATTTGCATGTGTGTGTGTGTGTGTGTGTGTGTGTGTGTGTGTGCATGAGCGTGCGTGCACACAAGCATGCGTAGGACAGAGGATAACATTCAGGAGCTTGTTCTCTCCTTCTACCATGTGGGTTCTGGGGCTTGAACTCATGTCATCAGGCTTGGCAGCAAACACCTTTACCTTGGAGCCATCCTACCAGTTCCACAAAGCCCATCTTAATCATTGACTCTTCAATTTTATTTTTTAAAAATACTTTTTATTATTTTTATGTGTATGCGTGTATTGCCTGCATGTAGGTAAGTGCACCCATGTC